GCCTTGTTGGAGGAAGTGTATTACTGGGGTGGGCTTTTGGATCAGGATGCAGGTCTCAGCTTCTTTTCCAACACTATGCCCACATGTCAGCATGCTCCCCACCATGATGAAACTATAAGCAAGTCCTCTGAAACTATAAGCAAGTCCTCAATTAAATACTTTCCTTTATAAGATTTGCCTTGGTGTATCTTTACAGCAATAGTATAGTAACAGAGACACACCTGTTACTAGTGTTAGAGTAATTATTTCAGCATAATGTCTGCTTTTAATTGTTCCTTAACAAAATAAAGCAATGCAGTTTATTTAAGAAAGAATAGGGCTGGAGAGATGGCTCAGAGGTTAAGAGCACTGGCTGCTCTTCCAGAGGTCCTGAGTTCAATTCCCAGCAACCACATGGTGGCTCACAACCATCTGTCATGAGATCTGGTGCCCTCTTCTGGCCTGCAGTCATACATGCTGTATACCTAATAAATAAAATAAATCTTTAAAAAAAAAAAAAGAATAATTACTTTTGTAGCATTTCTCTCCACTCATTTCTTAATTCTTTACATTCTAACTGGGGCAATGTCAGTAGTCTCCTCCTAATATACAATTTTAGCTTTACTACAACTAACACATACTTCTCTGAAGGAATAAGGTTCTCATTCCAAAGGCAGCATAGAGCATGTCCTAACTTACTCAAACACTCTTGTAAAATCAAGTTCTAAAAGCAAAGTCATCCCCTGACGGGAGCCATAAGCCTAAGCGACTCCTGACACACGTGCCGCCATATTTGGGCTTCTCTCCTCTTTTCTTAGATCTAGGCCTTGCTTAAGTCTCCATAGCACCAGAACCTCTTCCCACAGATACCAGAACCTCTTCTCAGATATCAGGTGAATGAGCTGCAGTCAAGCAATTAGGCAGTTAGACAAGGGTAGATAGATAACCTTCAGAGCAACATTTCCTGCTGGCCGAACAGCCCATAATTAAGTCCCTTCCTGCTTGCATCCCCCATTACTAAGTTCCTTCCTGCTTGCAACCCCCATAGTTAAGTCCCTTCCTGCTTGCAACCCCCATAGTTAAGTCCCTTCCTGCTTGCAACCCCCATAGTTAAGTCCCTTCCTGCTCGCAACCCCCTTTGCCTACCTATATATGCCTTGAGAGAAAAATAAAATTTTGGAGCTTGATCAGACGTCCTGTCTTGCTCTCATTCTTTGTGTCTCTCGTCCCTCTCATTCGCCGGCCCTCCCTTTAGGTCCCTGTTGAAGACCCCGCTGGCCGGGGCACCCCCCAAGCTCACTTAAGTCTTCCCATCCTGCCCACCATCTGCTGTGTGGTGCCTCATGGCACATTCCCTAAGAACTCAAAAACAGGAAGGAAAATGAGCTGGTAATATAACACACTAGGCACTGTTCTAAGAAGCATGATCACATTAGCTGACATAAGCATCATACAGGTTTATTTTTCATTTTATTGGGAAAGAAACAAGAAGCATTTGCAGGTGGCTCTGTTTCTGAGACCTACTACAAAGCAACTATTCATTATGCACCCTTCCTCCTGCTCTTGACCCCACAGAAGCCAGACACGGCCCATGGAAATGTGTGAGGCCCTGCTGCTGCTCTGATAGCCTCCCCAATGGCTCCCCTCCTCCACAGAGGAAAAGCTAAAGGCCTTCAGTTGCTTACTCTCCTTCCCATCTCTTCCCCGACTCTCTCGCCACAGCGCTCTTGTAACACACCAGGTGTACTCCAGCTCTGGCACTTGCTGTTCCCTCTGTCTGGAGTGCTCAGAGACTTCCCCTCACCTGTCAACTCTGTAACCTTCCACCTTTCTCTTCCTTCCTTTCCTGGTAACTCTCGTCCCTGCATTGTTTGACACACACACACACACACACACACACACACACACACACACACACACGCACACGCACACGCACACGCACACCCCCAGCATTTGCCACCATGGCACACAGTGTATTTATACTTTTAAGGTCTGTTCATGGTCCGTCCCTTCCAGGAGACTGTACCTTCTATGAGGGCAAGGGCTACTGTCTGTTGATGGCTAGATCACCAGTGTCTAGGAAAGTACTGAATGTATGAGAGGGTCCCCGCCCAAATACTTGGCAGATGAAGAAGGAATGAACCCACCCAAGCAACCAATGAATTAACATAATTAACGTAATATAAATAGGAGGGCTGGACCGGAAGTTAAGAGGGCGAAGAAGGACTTGCTGAGGTATATAAGGGACATCGTGGAGGACTGGGCCCGAGGGCAGGGAAGGAACAAAGTATAAAATGGCCATGGGCTACGATAACATTTTCTAGTTCCAGGAATCCTTACTGGAACTCTGTAGATCTCCTGTTCTCCAGGACAAGGATTCTCTAGCTCTCCTTGCCCCAACAACCTCTTTTGGAAATCCGATGAAGTCTACGAACTTTCCCCAAGGCCATGTGTTAAAATGCACAAATATGTAGGATTGATATTTGTAGTGGCATTGCTGCTGAGCTCCTGGCTTGGCTCCAGAGAGCAGCACCTAGCCCTAATCCTTCCTTTGTTTAACCACACCTTTTGTTTCTCTTATCGCCCTATGTGAATCTTGTTTGCGAGTCAAGGATCAGAGAGTCCCCCAAGGATCAAAGGCCTATATAAAACTTGGTCCAGGACACCTGGAAAACCGTGGTACCTGATAAATCAAGTAATTTGCACCTGGCATTTGGTCTCTGGGAGCTCCTTTTGGTTTGCTTTGTGTACGGAGATTAACTATCTAAACTGTAAAATGGAGTAAATAAATATGCCCTAGGCAAAGGGTTAGTGCTTCAGTCCTTCGAGGCTGGACCCCCCTGCAGCCATGATAGGCTAAATTCATTCTTAAGATGCCTCTGTGTCTTCATTCCACGGACCCGCGTGAACCCACACACTGGTGTAGTGACCACACAGCTACAGATATTCAAATATTTTAATCAAAATTGTGATACAATATAATACATGTACTTATTAAGATCTAGTATCAGCTTATAAACAACGAAATTGAAAAACACAAAATCAAAACCCACAGCAAAGTAATCCCAACTACACCTTCTGGAGGCAAAATCCAAGAACAGAAAAATCTCCAAACTAAACCATGAGACTGAGCTTCTAAAAAAACAGGAACTTAGCTTAGTCATTTTCATTATGCCTCAGTCGCAGAACCTAGCAGCTTGCACATACTACTCCAACAAGAAATGTTCACTGAATAAATATCTGTAAAGGAAGAGAATCACCATGTTTTCCTTTTTAGTACTGTCATGTCTACGGGATACCCATGTGCTCAGTCAGGCCCCAATCCTTCCTCAGTGAGCACTTCCTCAGCCATTACCTGCCTATACTTGAGCACCATAAGAAGGAAAGAGCTTGCTGTAAAGTGATGCTTTGCCTTTCACCTATGACTTCAATCACACCATCTCCCCCTTTATCACGTACTCATCCATCACACTCCATTCAGATGCCATGCTCTTCCGTAAGCTCCCTTGCTACCCATCCTTAGGCTGAGCTACTTAGGCTAAAAATCTGCGTTTCCATTTACCTGTAAATATTTAGCAAGGGGATGGCAACAATGCATGAAAAGAAGGTTAAGTGATATGCTGAAAACTCTTTGAAGTTTCTATTCTGTGTTCCCAAAGTTGACCTCAAACTCAAAGCTCAAATGACCCTCCCATGTCGTCAGACTATCATATGTCCCACTTTGCCTAGATGAAGCTTCTATCTTTATATCCGTAAGTGCCAATACAGGTTCAATCATTATTCACTGTGTATATGAGAAAATAAAACAATGATAAAGCTTAATTTGTTTCTTTTTTTGTTATTTTTATTTCTCTATTTTTTTCCTATTTTGTCAGCTGATCATTCAGACTTTAATTTTCTCAAAAATTAACAAAAGCCCCATTTGGCCATCAAACAAAAAGTGGAAATTAAAGCCAACAAAATGGCTTTCTCCTCAGGTCAAAGGTATCCTTTCTTAACTTGTCATGACTGACATTCAGTAAATACACAGCATCAGCACCAATCTCTCCCAATGTTCTCTACACTTAAGCCTCACCTTTCACAACCCATGTATCATTTCTTTTTCCCTAAAAGACACAAAGGAGGCCAGATATCGTCAGGTCTGTTCCTTTTTTACTTCTAGAATTCCTTTCTTTAATCTCTTCCAATTTAATTTGCTTCAGTTGTACCAAAGAAACAATTCTGTAATAATTCTTAAAATTGAGTTACATATAAAGAATTCTTTCCTAATATATAAGAATTACATTTTCTACCTTATTTCCTCTACTTAGGAAAATACTTACTTCCTCATGCTTCAGTCTTTCACTGAAGCCAGGGAAATGACCTTCTGTGTACCCCAGAAAGTTCTTCGCCCCTCCCCGTTGTCTTTGTGCCTGTGATACAGCCTTTCACACCCTTCCATCTCTCTTGCACTTGATTTTTCCTTCCAATCTTTCTTCCTCTAACATGGTTTAAAATTGCCTTTTCCTTAGCTGCTCTCTTACCACACAATCCTTCAACATTAAGTTTGCCTCAACTACCAATTGTTTGGTCTTTATTTATCGTTTCCTCTGTAAGTCCAATTGTTCTAGAAGCTCTGTATACATGTACTTGTACATCACTGTTCTATCCCACTTAGACAAATTCAGCTGCTCATATGTTCTTATGCATCTAGAATACAGCCACCATATTGATATTTTTCATACTTAGTTTTACACTCTATTTGAAAGGATAATATCTTAGAAAAAATTTTATTTCCAAGTTTAAAAAAATAACCTGCCTTGACTTATAATTTAGCAAATGGAAACAAGAAAACAGTGCCATAGTAAATAATACTCTGTCCATTCTCTACTGTCACTAGGTAAATGAAAATTATTCTTTTGTAAAACACTATTTTGAACAATTTTTGCACATATTCACTTTTATATAATTTATAGAATTGAATTTGTTAAAGTATTTAGTTAATCCACGACACAAAACTGAGCAATAGTTTAAAGACTTACAGGATCGGCAGGGCCACAGAATTCTCGGAATGTCTTTGTAGGATTGTTCTGCTGGATCTCTATGGCAACGCAAGAGCCGGAGCAGATTTCTGTCACCATCTCCTGTGATAGGCAATGTAAGAGGGAACAAAAGAATTAGAACCACTGACTGTTTTACCCCAATTCTTTTACTTTCGTACTTTCCCACCATTTCCAGTCTGAAAATGGCCAGCTTTGCCTCCTTCCCATCTGTGTCTGCACAAAGGCACTTCCTGCATCTGGCCACCTTTGCTTCAAAAGTGTCTCCTCACTTCATCGGCTAGTATCATTAGCAGTTAAGGCCATGCTCTGCCTCCTCTCATCACCTACAATCAGTTCCAGCACATCTTCCTTTCAGATGCCCTCTTTCCCTCGGCACATTTCATCAAACTAATACTCCTAAAATTAAATAGTGGTGGTTTTTTTTTTTTTCCTGGAAGACATTTAAAAAAAAATCCATAATGTGGTTAGCAACAAGGAGTAACATCTAGAAACTAGGAAAAAAAAAATAGATGAGCTAGTTTCTGTGTATTGAATGGTAGGGGCCAAAGGACCGTGACTCTTGGGAAAGCGGGGAAGGTAGCAAACCAGATGAGTCCTCCATCTTGCTGCATGAAAAGAGCTGCAGACAGGCAAGTACAGCAGAGCCCAACATCCCTACAGTGCTGGAGAGACAGACTTTAGTTAGGGAGCCCAGCAGACAGGATTTTCAGGGCAGAGTACAAGAGAACTCCACACCCTACCACAGAGACATTTCCACACCATGTTTACTGCTGCTATATTCACTATAGCAAGGAATTGGAATTAACTTAACCTAGCTGTCCACCAACAAATGAATGGTTAATGAAAATTTTATATATATCTATATCTATATATATAATATGGGATACTATTCAGCAAAGAAAAATGTAGTCACAAAGGTGATCACAAAATTTGCAGGATAACAGATGAAATTAGAATATATAATAGTAAGTGAGGTCACATGATATCAGAAAGAAAAAAAACCACAGAGTCTCTCCCTCATCTTTGGAACATATCCAATAATATATGTATATATGTAACCGAACATACATGTGGGTACAGTAGAACATGTAGAAAAGAAAACAAGAAAGGGTAAATATTAGAGGATGAACAAGGACTGAATGCAGGTAATGGACACACAAGTTAGGAAGAAGGATATAAAGTTAATTGTTTTTCTACATCTAACTTTGTCATAGAGTTTTCATTTTGTTTTTTTGGTGGTGAATAGTGCATAAAATATATTCACTAGTGAAGTGAAATTAGCAGGAGGTTCCATAGCTGCAGAATGGCTGAGAAGAGTCAGTGCTTCTCTCATATGGAGTAGAAAGCCCTCATAATACTTGGGGCTCCACATCAGGTGGAGGCCTCTGAAGGTCTCTGCTCCATAGCTGGCCTAAGTAATGAGGTGGACTCTACTCACCTTACAAAGCTTAGAAGCAAGCCTCAGCAGAGTCAAACTGAACCAAAGTTACTTAACTGAAAGCCAGAGCAAAGCCCAGCACTCTCTACAGGAAACAATCCATTTCATCACACTCAATACACTGTAAACCAATTGTCATACCAGGCACGAGAAGAAGCAGGAGAACACCAGCCACCAAAGAACAAGTCAGTAAGTAGACGTGGATCCAGCAGACAGGGGCAATGTAATGAACACGAGATTGCTAGCACAGCTGTTATAAATGAACCTGCATGCTCAAGTTATAGGAGAAACAGACATTACAAGGAAAACCTAAGTAACAGAAGACTCAAATCTAGACATGAAATCAAAGACATGTAACTAAAAAGTGCTCTGATGAGAGCAAGACATGATACCGCAGATCAAGGGATCTGAAACAGGTTCTTGAAATGGCTTCAACACAAGCAAGGACACCAACAAGGAAGGAAAACAAGGCATTGTAGGACAATGTCACACTGTCTAACATGGTGTCCTGGAAGAAGAGTTGACAGAGAACTATTTCAGGACATAAGTCATAAAAAGTTTTCCAAATTTCTATCCACAAACCTCTAAGTCCAACCAAGGACTATAAAGGGGGAAAAAAGGAAAGAAAAGTATAAAGGAGTCCATCACAACCAGCAAGAAACAAAACAAATCTTAAAAGTTGAGAGAAACAAAACAAAACACTACAGACCAGGATAGCAAAGACAGCAGCAGCAGCAGCAGCAGCAGCAGCAGCAGCAGCAGCAGCAGCAGCAGCAGCAAGGCCTGCCCATCTAAAACATGTACCCAAATCACAACATATTTTTAAAATCAAAGACACAGAAAGAGTTCTTCAGACAAATCAGAACTGTGAGAAGTCAATACCACAGTGGCTCTCAACCTGTGGGTCATGACCACCACAGGGGTCACATATCAGATATTTGCAATATGATTCATAACAGTAGCAAAATTATAGTTATGAAGTAGCAACAATTTTATGGCTGGGGGTCACCACAACATGAGGAACTGTATTAAAGAGTTACAGCATTAAGAAGGTAAGAACCACTGCAATACCAGAATCCCTGTCTGTAAGATATGAACAGACATCGAGCAAAGAATGCCACCAAACACATAATGTGTTTCTTTAAAAACTGACTCAAAATGTTTTGGTCCTCCCAATTGTTAGTTAAGGAGAAATTTTCTAAAAACTTGGTTGTTTGTTTTTCTAAAGAGTCTTTAGCTAACCCAAGACAGTCAGCTGTACATGGAATGATTGAATTAATGTCTATCTTCATTAGAACTTAACTTCTTTCAATGCACATCATGTGCCTTTTATCACAAAACTGTAAAATCTACAGATGTTCAATCAATATATGCTCTTATCATGATAACAGGATAAGGTCAAAACTATGCTTTTTTAGATAATTTTGAAGTAAGTTTGAATGTAAGTATAAACTGTCAACAAAAAAAAACCACTATCAAAGACTACTCCTAAACTACATAGTAACAGAAGCAACAGCAGTTAATATTTACCAAGTACTCTCAATGAAGAGATCACTTTACATGATTTGCTTTAATTAATTCTCACAACAATCTTCTAATATTGCATCATTCTCATTCTATACATGGGCTAATAAAAGCTTTAAAAGGATAAATAACTGGTGGTCCTAGGAATTGAACTTGGGCCCTCTGAAATAGCAGCAAGCCCTCTTAACCACAGAGCCTGCTCTTCAACCTCATGCTAAACATCTTTAATTTATCTGTTGGACAATCACATTCGTTCTTTTAAGAAGTACCATTTCAGGTTCTTTGTATTTTCTCCCCCATCCCCTTCTCCTCCTTTGAGACAGGATTCACTATGCAGCCTAAGCTGGCCTTGAGCTCCTGATCCTCCTGCTTTTACCACCCAAGCATTAGGTACAGTCATGCATCACTACCTGGCTCTTTGTCTATTTTTTTTTTTTTTTTTTTTTTTTTTTTTTAAGATTTATTTATTTATTATATATAGTGTTCTGCCTGCGTGTTTTGCTTGAAGGCCAGAAGAGGGCACCATATCTCATTACGGATGGTTGTGAGCCACCATGTGGTTGCTGGGAATTGAACTCAGAACCTCTGGAAGAACAGCCAGTGCTCTTAACCTCTGAGCCATCTCTCCAGCCCGGCTCTTTGTCTATTTTAAAAATTAAGTTAATTGTCATCTTGCTAGTCAGTTGTTTGAGTTATTAATAGATTTGGATATTAATCCTTTGCCAGATATATGGTTTATAAATAATCCTTAAAAATACTTTCAATAATTATAAGATTTCCAAGATCTGAAACACACACATTGCTTTCAGTTGCATTATTTAATATTTATTTTGATACTTACATTATACTCAGGCACAACGCCTTTATAAACTTCATAGAATTCTTCGACGTTAACCCGATCCATATTGAACTACATTAAAAAAAAAAGTAAGCCAATCAAGTGAGCTAAACTTAGCATTTAGCATTCCTTGGACACATACTTTTACTTTTTGCTATGTGGTGTCTTTTCCCCACACAGGCCTCAAAGATACTATGCAGGCCAGGCTAGCCTTGAACTTGTGACTGTTCTGTCTCAGCCTTCCAAGTGCTGGAATTACAGCTACTTGCCACTATATCTATCTTCTTCTTTTAACCTCAAAATGTAAGTCTTGGATAATTTGTTCTTTGAAGAAGAAAGTATTATTCAAGACCAGCTGATCAATAATAACTTTATATTTATTTATTGAGATTTATTGAGTATTTAACATATGATACTTGACTGGATTTTATACATGTACCATCTCATATAATTCTCACAATCCTATGGCATAAGTACTTAGCATGTTACTGCTAAGACTCAGAGGCACCATGAGACTTCTCCATATTGGCCTTCTGTCACTCCCAGAATCCGACTCCATTGACCATGCTCTCACCCACTACTTTACAACTTTTAGAATGAAACCCTGTTCTTGATAGGGTTTCAAAATAGGCATAGGCAATATAGTGCTGTTTATTGGTAGATTAGACATACAAGAAAAAAATGTTACTAAGCACAGGTTCTTCAGAGCTTGTAGAGAGAATGGAAAGCTATACTACTGCCCTCCCAAACATTTGGAAAAAATCGCTAAAACCAGTTTGTAACAAAGCACTTAGACATGTCAGCTGGACTTGCTTCTAGCCTTCAAAACTAAGTGTGAATAAGATATATACGCTTATGAAACACACCTAAACAATTTCTTATCAAGGTCTGTTTTAAATTCAGTTAGGAATAAAATGTTGTTATGTTTAACAGTCTCACTAACTAAAACATTAATTTAAAGAAAGGGCATCAGAGCCCGAATTTTACCCCCTTTCCTTTGCTTCTCTAGAACTGTCAAGACTGGAGATCACTGAGAAATGTCAGTCTACACTGTCAACAACTCAATCAGGACTGACCGGCATGGGCGGCATTACTATTAAAGGGAGGGAAGTCGGTTTGATTTCAAGGCTTTCTCCTGCATTCATTCAACTTTTACCATTAGTGCACCAAAATGTGACATAAAATATAACTTAATAAAAGTCTGTTAAATCTACAGCATAAACCCACAGTGGCAAACAATAACATCCTCATGGCCTAGAAGAGAAACCGAGGCTAAGGATGCCTGACCAGGGTCACATGCCTAGAAAACTGTTGACCCTAGATTCTGAAAATGCTGTCTCTGACTCTAGACACCAACAATTGCACTTACCATTATCCTATAATGCCCCATCAAAGGTTCACATTATTTATAATGATTTCTTGTCAAATGTACCAGTGTCTGAGGGGGCAATTCTAAGTGAGTATAGGCTTGAGGCTTAAGAGCCATGGGGGAGATTAAATACATTAACACTTAAGGGACAGTTTAGAAACCAGCCCCAGGTTGAGAGTGCCAAAGGAATCTGAACTCACATCACATTCTTCCTTCACTATTTGCTAAGAAACGTAGAACACAGAATGCTCATTGACACACCTCACTTTGATTCTACTTGTCATTTGTAAGGCCAATATAGCCGTCCCCTACTTTTCAGCTGAAGTTTCAAGTTCTAAGAAACTTTGAAGCTTAAATCAGGTTTATTGTCTAAATATTAGTATCTCAGTAAATTATTACATAGACTAAGTAATTAAAACACGTTTTTATTATAAAGTTATCAAGTTCAGTTTTTTTGTTGCTGTTTTGTTGTGTTGTTGTTTGGTCTATCCTGGAACTCAGCACATACATCTGGCTGGCCTCAAACACACAGCTACCTCTCCTTCCACAATGCTGTGATCAAAGGCCTAATCCACCAGATCCAGCCAGGTTATTGAATCTGTATGTCTTTAATTTTAATAAATTCAAATCTCAAGTGCATGGTGAACATTCAGTTAAACACATTTTAAGGCTTATTAAAAAACAATTCTTCCATACATTATGGCTCACTGCAAACCACTTACCATCTGTATCGCCGAGATTTCAAAACATGCATCTCGAATAGCTATTAAGATCTTTCCCAACAGTCCTAAAAATGAAGAAAAATTGGTTCAAAATTTTTTAAACTATTTTAGGCTTCTAAGAAATACAAATTTTCAACATCATTGTTCTTTGCTTCTACTCCAAATAAGGAAAATGCAGTATCTCTGCAAGAGAGATTAGGTAAATCCCTGAACAGAGCACCACACGTAATCACTTGATTCTCTCAGTAAATGCTTCAGTACCAATGATGGTCCTGAGAACAAAGCAGAAAGCTCTGAGGCCACTACTTTGCCTTTAAGGTCCCATCAATCTAGTGATGTAAAGAACATGAAAATTAAATGACTTTAAAATAACATTATCAAAAAGTAAAATGACAAGATACTGGATATAAGAGGAAAAAGTCAAATAATTGAAAAGGAAACAGAGATTTCAAGGGGGAATGAAAGTGTGTGTTGTTCTTAAATCCTGAAGGATGATGGGCTTTACATAAAGACAGAAGAGAGTGAATGACTCAGAAAAGATGAGTAACTATAAGAAGGCAGAGAGATTATACCCAACTGAAGGTCTGTGCCCTAGTTTGCTTCATTTCCCTGTGATATACACTGTGGTGGTTTGAATAAAAATGGCCCTCAGAGGCTCCTATACTTGAATGTTTGGTTCCTAGTTGATGGACTGTTTAGGAAGGATTAAGAGGTGTGTGGCCTTGGAGGAGGAGGTGTGTCATGTAGTGTGGGCTTTGAGGTTTCAAAAGCCCACACCAGGTCCAGTCTCTCTCTCTCTACCCATGGCTTGTGGATCAGATGTAAACTCTCAGCTACTGCTCCACTCCAGTGCCCTGATTCCCTCCATAATGGAAATGGACTAACCCTCTGAAACTGTAACCAAGCCCCTAAATAAATGCTGTCTTTTATAAGTTGCTTTGGTCATGGTATCTCTTCACAGCAATTGCTCAGTAACTAAGACATCCCATGACCAAAAGAAACTTGGAGCAAAAAGGATTTATTTCAACTTATAACTTACACTCTATCATGAAGGGAAGTCAGGGTACAAAACTCAAGTCAGGAGCCTGAAGCAGGAACTAAAACAGAGACCACGGAGGAACCCTGATTATTGGCTTGCTCTTCATGGCTTGCATAGCCTTTCTTTCTTTTCTTTTCTTCCTTCCTTCTTTCTTTCTTTCCTTCCTTCCCTTCTCTCTCCTTTCTCTTCCTTCTTCTTCTTCCTCTCCTCCTCCTCCTCCTCCTCTTCCTTTCCTCTCCCTCCTCCTCATCCTCCTCCTCTTCCTTTCCTCTCCCTCCTCCTCCTCCTCCTCCTCTTCCTTTCCTCTCCCTCCTCCTCATCTTCCTCCTCTTCTTCTCTCCTCCTTCTTTGGTCTCACGATGTAGTTTTGACTGAGTTGGAACTTGCTCTGTAGACCAGTCTGGCCTCAAACTCATAGAGGTCGGCCTGCCTCTGCTTCCTGGTGCTCGGATTAAAGGCCTGTGCCACCACTCCTTTCTAGTACAAGCCAGGACACCTGCCCAGGGGTGGGACTTCCCACAGGGAGCTGGACCTTCCCCTATCAGCCGACAATCAAGAAATTGCCACACAGACTTGCCTAGAGGCCAACAAGATGGAGGCAATTCCTCAACTGTGAGCCCCTCTTCCCAGCTAGCTCAACATCTGTGTCAAGTTGACAGAAACTAACCAGCATAGTCTTAGAAGTCAACACGAAGAATCTGGGCACAAATTCTGTCACAAACGGGTAGTTTTTGTAAGGCGAGGGTCTGCTGACTCTTAAGAGCCTGGTACTATTTTTGACATAGTTTTGCTTCAAATAAAAACCTTACTATATATACATAAACTAGTCACTCTCTCTTTTCTCCCTCATTCCTGTCACCACCCCCACCCCACCAGTCCCTCTCCCAGAATCCCACCTTCGGTTTGAGTTGTGACCCACTTAACCAGGGCCATCTGTGTCACCATCAGACTGGAACGATCTATTGGAGCCGGGTGGGTAGACATACAACGGAAAGCAATGATTACACTCCCTACCCCACACTCTGATTCTACCTGTAACAGGCGGTTCAGCAGTGAGGGGCAGGGCCATGGAGCCTCTCCTTCATCCATTCCTGACTGTTGAGGGGCCCATTCTTATGTAGACCCAATGGAGGCATCCTTAGCTGCTGAGAGTTGTGACAGCAATCACTGTGTGTTGCCCAGAAGATAGCTTGGATTTTTCAAGTAAACCTACTCTATCTCTGTCTCTTACATAAAGAAATATTACACATCAATATATGAATCTTGATGAAAGTGTGGGTCAGTGTTGCATTAGCCAATATAAAGATAAATCTGTAGTCTGCAGCTATTACAAACCTCTATTATACATCTATAATCCTATTAAACTATGTTCTTTTGTGGGATGTATCATTTGAACACAATAATTCTACTTACAGACAAGTATGATGCTATAGCATACATTACATTACCGTTACAGTCTAACACAAGTCCAATTCCTCCCTGAAAATTCCCCTAGTTTAGGTCGTGTGATATTACTGCTCCCAGGTCTGTTATCCAGCCTACTCAATATCCATGGAAACTGCCTTTTTATGTCCACTTGGTTATATGTGGTGGTAGGTCACAGACGCATTTAAGAAAGCAGTTCTGTGTTTAATCACTTAGAACACAAAAAGTCAATAACCATATGTCCTGTACTCTGTCCTAGATAGAAAATGTTCAGATGACTGAACAAATGGTAATAACTATGTAAATGAAGCACATGCATGTAGCAATAAAATAAAACAAAATGGTATCCCAGGAAGCAAAGGACAAAAGGGTCAAAAAAGACAGCGTCTTACTTGGTTAGTGTTTGCACAGCTACTGGATTTTATAAGAGTTTGCTATAACTCCATGAATGCCACCTCTTCAATGCTGGAACGTCAAGTCATTTCTCCATCTCCACTCATTATGTTTTCACCTAGTTTGTTCAAAAGCTCCTTTTCAGATGTCTTTCTCATATCACCTCCAGAATATTAGATATTTATTATTTAAAACTTGCTCTTCCTGTGACTATACCCAATTTCCCTTCAAGGTAAGTGATTTCTCTAATCATTTGATTGGCAAGGGAACTGTCAACTTCCTATATGACCCACTAACTACAACCTCCATCAAAATGTCAGGGGGTGACACCAGATCTAAGCAAAATCAATTATAGCACTTGGAGTTCCCAGGCCACAGTAGTTTAGTTAGGATCAGAATCATAATTAGCTTAAGCCACAGAGTCCTTCCCTGAGATTTTTTTAAAGCTGGAACTGGGGAAACACACTTTCCACTGGGTTCACAAGGGTCTGAACCCTCTACAGTTGGCAGTTCTCCTTTCTTCCAAAATCCTGGGAAACGTATGCAGAAGGACGAAGCTAAGAGTCAAGAGAAGCAAAGACGAAGCACAGTAACACAGAGACTGACTACGTTATTTAGTCTCCCTAAACCCAGCACAATCCCTTTCCTTCCTGTAGTCTTGTAAACTGAGACAGGGAACCCAATTGGCTTTCTTCTCTTGCACCAACAGTGTCCTCCTTATGCTACCTGTTTATGTAGGAAGTAAAACACTGCATCCCGAGAAGGAAATGCTGAAGCTGGAAAGCCAGACCCAAGAACAAACAGTCCTTCCTGAAAACTGACATTCTGATGCACGGTGAGTACAGACAGACGAGCACAGCCCCCCCACAAACTCATGCACACCAAGTTAGACGTTGGCTGGTTACTCCTACAAATTCTGTCGCCACCACTGGCCTAGCATATCTTGCAGGCAGGACAGATTGAGGTCACAGGTTTTGTGGCTGGGTTAGTGTTTACATTCCTCTTTTGGTAGCTTGCAGAGTACCTTCCCACAGCAAAGGCACTAGAATGTAGGAGTGAAGGCTCCATGTAGGCTCCAGGTTGATTTCTCCATATTCAGTGAGTTGTGTGGGTGTTGTCCTCAGCAATGGGGACTTGTAGTGAGTTTGGGGAGAGCAACCCATTGTCCTTGGAACAGCCTGAGTTGTTCAGGGATTTCCATGGGATCCCCTTGGCCAATAACTCAACTGAATAAACCCAGTCCCAGTACTACTTGGATGACAAAAGATTGCTAGCTGGGACTCTGTCATGCCCATTATAAGAAGACCTCATTAGGATCGCCATCATGTATTTTAAGTAGTTTCCACATCAGCCCTCAAAGGCTCCTCAATTCCAGCTGTCTCTCCCTGCATTCCCTTGCTTAGCCCTTTCTTACCCCCATCTCCACTTGATCCTCCCATTTGCATCCCAATCTTCCCCCATAAAATATATACTATTTCCCCCTCCCAGGGAGATCCATGTGCCCCCCCCATTCCTTCCTCTGTATCTAATCTCTCTAGATCTATAGACTGTAGGTTGGCTTTCATTTATTTTAGTGGCTAATATCCACATATAAGCAAATACATATTTATCTTTCTGGGTCTGGGTTACCTCACTTGGGATAATTTCTTATGGTTCCATCCATTTGCCTGCAAATTTCATGATTTTATTTTTAAACATTGTGTAAATGTGCCACAGTTTCTTTATCCATTCTTTTGTTGAGGGATATCTAGGTTTGTTCCAATTTCTGATTATTATGAACAAAGATCTCCCATGCTCATAGACAAGTAGGATTAACATAGTAAAAACAGCCATCCTCCCAAAAGCAATCTACAGATGCAATGCAACCCCCATCAAATTTCCAACACAATTCTTCACAGACTTTATAGAAGAGAAGGTGGGGAATAGCCTTGAACATATTGATACTAGAGACAACTTCCTGAACAGAACACAGATAGCAGAGGCACTAAGATCAACCATTAATAAATGGGACCTTGTAAAACTTGAAAACCTTTTGTAAGGCATCATGGTAGTGACATAAAAACAGATACATTCATGAATAGAATCAAACTGAAGACCCAGACATAAATCCAAACACATATGGACACTTAATTTTTGATAAAGAAGGCAGAAATACACACTGGGAAAAAAAGACAGCATCTTCAACATCATGGTAGTAACATAAAAACA